TTCCATAGCAACAACAACTTCCTGTCAACAGTGCTAACTCTCCTTCAAAATAAAAGCATGTCCATAAAAAATAGGAAGCCAAGCCAAATTACACTTAAGACTATACAACTGCAACAAAAGTAACGAACACAATGCAATATCCTTTTCAATTTCATGAACACAAATTGTTGTATACATTAACAAATAACTATAAAACAAGAATACTGTAGAATAACTAAATGAATGCCGTGAATAAACCGAAATACACGTGTTGAAGCGGTTCGCTGCTGATTACTACCGAATATCCGGAGCCCGAAAAATGGTATTCGGGACAGCCCTAGTGTGTTATAAAGAAATGCCTGTCAACTATACGGAGAACTCAGACAGTTTAGTACTTTTATTTAGACACATTTTTTTTATTTATTGGCATGAAGTCTGATAATCTTTCTGACACTTTGTATTATGTGCACTCCACAGTTGATTTGCCAATATGCTAGTATTCTTGGTGCTGCTATCATATTGCAACATTATCTGTCCCTACAGTGGGGATCTTGTTATCTCCCGCTACATTTTAATCACACCTAAAGCAAACAAGTTGCCATGTGTCATGGACTCGTGCACAATTCCTCAGCTGTCTTTGCTTATTGCAATATTACCACAAGTGTTTTTCCACCACTAGAAAAACCCTACATTTAGGAAAGATTGTAAACAGTCTCTATGAATCAACCTACCATGATAACATGTTGAGGCTTGTCAACAACTTTGTCTCTGACCCCAACCATGCCCTGAACAGTGAATATGAATAGTTACCATCAAATGAGAGATACAGCGTCTCACAGTTTAGTAATATGGACTGAAGCACTTTTTTGTACACCAGTCAATCTAGAAGTTGAATCCCTGATCAAAAGGTTTTGAAAACGTCTTTACTGATTGTATTTCATGTTAAATGTCTGTTCACTTGTTTATTTTCTTAAATATAAGTCTTTGTTGATGTTGCATGTGGATCCGCAATTAAGAAAGAAACTTCTTACACTTTATCTGGCAATAAAGTACGATTGTATTGTATAGTATCACAGCTACCAGTAGTACCTTTGAGAACATGTACTAAACCCCCAAATGCTTGAGGGGAGCTGCTAAGTGGCAATCAGCGGTAAAGAAACGTCCACATCTGGGAAGATGCCGGCACAGGTTCAGAGAAACGATTAAGATTCCTTCAGTATCTTACAGGACTGTCTCCCAACCCACCAGACTACACGGGCTTCCTGCTGTGTTCGTCCTTCAGTTTCATCTTCCATGCTGCCTGGAAGTCAAAGGAGGCGGACAGTGAGGTGAGGTGTTGGAGAGAGGGATGTTGGGAGCAGGAAAGAGCAGATCATTTGTTTCAGTTTTCTCACAGCTCCAGGCCTCGAGCTCCGACTTCTGTTGATTTACGGCTTTTCTCAACACGACCACATCTGAGAGAGGAATAATTAGAAGGCTCTAAAACAGTGCAGTTTAGGGCTGTTGTAATGAAATTTGTTGGCCTGCAGTCGTGTTTTTCGGGTGGAGTCGAGGTAAAGAGGTAGACCTAGGTGAGTGTCTGAAATTCCAAATAATCAAGCGCGAGAGAGCGAATGCGTGCCCATACACACATGCTCTCTGATCCAGCTTGTTTGGAGAGCTTTGCAGCGCCTTTACAAGATCATTTTATTCCTACCAGCTCCTTGTTATGGTGATTAAATATATCCCCAATGCAAGGCATCAATTACTGGGCAGTGGAGCACCACAAAGGGGCCTGGCTGGGAGCTGGGGAGGGGGCTTGGCGGCTGCTGCTGCCCTGGCTGCGATGTGGGAGACGGAGGTGATCCAGGCCTCGTCGGTCCCTAGCTCCAGAGAGCAGAGCTGCAGGGCCTGGCTGAGGGGGTCCTGG